CCTGAAACATAATCTGTTGGACATACCGACTAGCAAAGGTGGAAAAGGAAGTTCAATGTTCTTCAAGTGTGGGAAATACGCAGTGTTGATTTCTGGCTGCCTTTCCTTTCTGTCAGCCACTAGAAATGTTATTATCCCAAAAGTCACCAAAAAAATTGAAAAGATTTTCCCATGCGAGTAAACCCTATTCCTCAGTAGCCAACCAAGAAGAAGGTTGGCAATCAATGTTCCCTAAAATATGTTTCGTTTAATAAAAAAACCCAATAGCAAAGTCAAAAAAAATAAAGAAAGAGAAACTCGTAACCGTACTAAAAAGAAGGAAAAAAAATGAACAGCTCACTGATCGAAACATGATGAATACAGGAACAGATACGTCAAAATTCAACGATAAGTTGTTTCCCACATTGACCAGAAAAAATAAAAGAACGATGAATATATACTTCCTGAAAAAAAAAAAAACAATTCCTAAATTTGTTAGAAAAAGCAAAAACTCTATGTGAAGTTTCTCTATTTTTTCTAAATTAAAGAATCACTAAATATGATGCACAGAAGAAGACCATCTTCAAGCTTAAAAAAAAAAGAAAGAGGACAATTTCTTACACTGTAAAAAAAATTAATTATGAGAAGTTTCATTTACCTTAAAGGGACCCTGTTCCTCGGTATGACAGTGAAGAACTTACTCTGCTGCACAAGACCAACAAAGGATATGAAAAGAAACGTTGAGAATGTCATAAGATTTACACAACCTGGACTTGACCTATAAACAAGTAAAAGTACCAAAACATACAAAAATGATGAGAGGGATAGAGCATAAAACTTAATTCAGATGTCAAGACTTTTATTAAAATATAACACGAAAATTTAGATAAGTAAAAAAAAAAAAAAAAGAAAAACAAACTTCGAAAGCATTTCAATCTGCAACATGCAGCCAACACAACCTGTCAGGGTACCTGCAATCGCTTTATCTGCCATTTCTGATCCTCCTGTTACTGTATTTCCCCCTTCAAACCATTATGGTGATATTACCCAGAGTTTTAATCTGAAAGAAGAAAAGTTTAGTTATCTATATATGAATTACGCAACAGCCAAACAAGAATTTTGTCATCAGGAGAAAAAGAGCGCTGCAATACAATGCTCAGTTAGCCGTAGACTGAAAGTTTTGAAAAAAAGTACCAAGCAGACCTTTGGAGGCTTTTAAACAGGTCAATTTATGTATGGTATTAAAATTTTGAACTACTAGTAGTAATGAATGAGAGGAAAAATTCAAAATGTCGACCCAAAAAATGGTCAAATAATGATGAAATATGAAGCTAATTGTTGTGGTGCAAATGGCTTACAAAAGGAAATCATCAACACGAAATCGTTGAGAAAAATCCGCAGAAGTTTTGTAACTTAACAGAAATACGTAAATAACTAAATAAGTAATTACAAAAATAAATAAAGACAAAAACAAAACAAAAATATAAATTACAAATTAAATTAAATATAAATAT